CATTGTACCTCATGACTGATCTGGATATAGTTCTTTCTGACAATGAATGCAATACCATTCCTCTTCAATTTGTCATTCCTGGCATAGTAAACCATGTGGTCATCAGATTCAAAATGGCCAATACCAGTCCATTTCAGCTCACTAATGCCAAAATATCGATGTTTATGTGTTCCATGTCATTTTTAACAACTTCCAATTTTCCCAGAGTCATACTTTGTACATTCCATGTTCCGATTTTCAGTGGATGTTTACAGTTTTTTTCTTCATTTTGAGTTGTGTTCCATCAGCAAATGAAGGTCCCGCAGGCATTACTCCGTTCACGTTATCACGGTCAACTCTACTTTGAGGAGGCAGCTCTTCCCCAGTCGCATTTTGAGTGGCTTCCTACCTGAGGGGCTCATTTTCCGGCAGTGTTTCTCTGCTATTCATAAGGTTTTCAGTGAGTAAATATTAGGAAGTAGTTTGTCACTCCTTCTTCCTAGTCTGTCTTTGTCTGGAAGCTCATCTGAAACCTGTCCACCATGGGTGACCCTGTTGGTGTTTAAAATACCGGTGGCATAGCTTTCAGAATCACAGCAACTCACAAGCCACCACAGTTGGACAAACTGACAGACGAGTGGTGGAGGTTGGGCTTAGTAGCAGGGAAAACATTCCAACCTGGGGCTGCTTGTTCTGAATGTGCTTGGGTTTGTCAAGCCTAGGCCTCTGGTCAGGTGTTCTGGTGGCACAGGGCTTAAGTATATGCTGCTGATGGAAAGGTCAGAGATTTGAACCTAGCAGTTGCTTCTAGGGAAAAAAATGAGACTGTTTGCTCCCATAAAGATTTACAGCCTTGGAAACCCTAGGGAGGAACTCTCTGTTCTGTTGAATCCCAGTGAGTCAGAACGGACTCCATGGTAGGGGTTTTTTTATGATTAACGAGGAGCCCTTTGACTGCTAACTAAAAAGTTAGCAGTTTGAACCCACCACCACTCTGAGAGAAAGATACGGCAGTCTGTCTCCATAAAGATTGGCAGCTTTGGAAACCCTTTGGAGCAGTTTTGTTCTGTTGTATAGGCTCCATGTGAGTTGGAACTGACTCCACAGCAGTGGACGGGGTATCACGTGCTTCAGTATATTGTCTAGCAGCTGTATTTACCCTTCTGTTAGAGGTAGACGCCAAGGACCTCAAGTCTGACTCTAGGCCTCACTCTTTCTACGGCCCTCACCCTTCAGTACTCCTCAGAGAAATGGCGGAAATGGTCAGTGTGTGGCTGCTAACCCAAAGGTTGACATTTTTTGAGTGTACTCAGACATACCTGAGAAGAAAGTCCTGGCATTCTACTGCTAAAAAATTCACCATCGAAAACCCTGCACAGTATAGGTCTACCTGACACATGAGGTCTCTGTCAATCTTTTTTTTTGACATATTTTACCAAGATAAAATGAAACGTTTTTATAAAGGATTGGCTCTCAGCAGCACCCAGGACATGTAGTGGGTACAAACTGTACCAATGTATGTTTGTTGCCATTGAGTCAGTTCCAACTCAGACAACACTAGCACAGCAGAAGGAAACACTACCAGGTCCTGCACCATCCTTACATCTGCTGTTATGTTTAAGCCCATTGTTGTAACTACTAGGTCAGTCCATCTCACTGAGAGTCTTCTTTTTTGTTGACCCTCCACTTTACCAAGCATGATGTCGTTCTCCAGGGTCTGGTCCCTCCTAATAATATGTCCAGAGTATATGAGATGAAGTCTCAACATCCTCACTTCTCAGGAACATTCTGAAGTACTTCTTTTAAGACAGATCCATTTGTTTTCCGGGCAGTCCGTAATCTATTCAGTTTTCATCACCAACATCATCATTCAAAAAAGCATCCATTCTTCTTTGATCTTTATTCATTGTCCAGCTTTTGCCTTCATATGAGTTGATTTAATATATTTATATTATATATCCTGTTCTGTGTTATATGTTTCTGAGTCCCTGGATGACTCAAACAATTAAAGCACATAACGGTTCAAATCCACCCAAAGGCACCTTTGGAAAAATATCTGGTCCACATCTTTCAGGTTACAACCGTGAAAAACACTATAAAGTGCAGTTCTTCTATTATGCACATGGGGGCGCCATCAGCCAGTCAGCTCCCTGGCATCTGGTTTTCAGCACTTCTCAGAGGTGCAAATGTTGATGGCTGTGGGTAGTATGTTTTTGTTTGCCCCATAGTTTATTTGGCTTTAGTAGTTTTTTAGGGTAAACACTGGATTGTGAACCAACTATAAGGTTAGCAGTTCATATTAGCTGTACTACAGGGAAAAGATGAAGCTCTCTGATCCTGCGAAGCTTTACAGCCTCATGAACCTTACACAGGGTCACTGTGAGTCAGAACCAACTCATTGGCATTTACCAACAACACACTGAAGAACACTTAGATTATTTATAATTTCTCACTGTTTTAAATCATGAATAATTTGATGTATCTCTGGACCTCCCAGCTCTCTCCCTGCTGTGGTTTCAGGTGTTGTCTGAGAAGCCAGTCTGGGAAGCGGTCTTAGGGTCACCCCTTGACTACAGTTTTCTTTCCACAGGATGAAAGGGAGCGCATTGAAGCTCTGGGTGGCTTCGTGTCTCATATGGACTGCTGGCGAGTCAACGGGACCCTAGCTGTCTCCAGAGCCATCGGTAAGAAAGCACTGGAGTTTCCCTAATGGTATGGGGACTAGAGAGCAGTATGTGCTGAAGAATGATATGGTAGACTATGTGTCTTCATGGCCTTGGGGCACTGAAAGCAACAGAAAATCATTCTCGGAGTTCTGGAAATCAGAAGTCCAAAATCATGTTGTCACAGGGTTGGTTATCTGAGAGAGCATCTATCTATCCTATGTCCTTCCAGTTTCCAGTGGTGCCGAGTTTCTTGGCACTCATTTACTTGTAGCTGTATCACAGCAATCTTTTCTTTGTCTTTCCTCTGCGTGTTCTCGGTGCCGCTAAATCTCCTTATAAAGATACCAGTCATGAGATTTAGAACCCACCGTAATCTAGATGGCCTCTTCATAACTTCACAGGTACTAGGCACTAAGACTTGAACATAACATACGAGGAGACACAGGCCAACTCAAGCCACTAAAGCTATGTGATCAGTCAGATTATGAAGGGAGATCTGATAAGATTTAGAGTGCAGACACTTCCAACACTTTCATCTCACACAAACAGTTCTAGTTGGAAATACAAATTATCTCTGCATTGAAACAAGTCCCTCAAATAGAAACCTGTCCACCAGTGTTAGATTGTAGCACTCTGCACAATACTCCAAAGGTGGAAACAGCCCCAGTGTCCGTGAATGGGCAGTCTGTTTTCTATGGTTACCACATTCCTTTCACACAGAAGAATGGACACACACACCGTGACATAATCAGACAGTAGAATATCCCCCAGTCTTAAAGAGAAACAAAGTTCTCATGCGTGGCACATGGATAAACGTTGGAAACATCATGCTGAGAGAAATAAGTTAGTCACAAAAAGACAGTCATTGTATGGTCTCACTTACTATGAAATATCTAGAGTAATTACAGATGCATGGAGACCCAAGTTCACTAGTGGTTTCCATGAGTGGAGAGGTGAGGGAGAAGAAGGAGTCATTGCTCAGGAGGGATTTGGAAATGGATAGTGATGGTTGCACGACATGAGTGTAACCAGTGTTACTGAATTGTACATGTAAAAAATGTGGAATTGTCAAATGTTACATGTACAAGGATAAGGCAAAAAGTATTGCTACTAGGGTTCAAAAAGTACATGTACTGGCATATAAAATGTGTTTAAACGTGTCTTTGTGATCAGTTGATGCCTGTAGACAAGTGCTCTAGTAATATGCTTGTATTCGTCTTGTTAGAGGAAACATGATGGCTCTGTGGAGTAAGCACTGGACTGCAAACAACAAGGTTGGCGGTTCAAGCCCACCAGCTGCTCCTAAGAAGAAAGATGAGGTTTTCTGCTCCTATAAAGATTTACAGCCTCAGAAACCCTACATAAGGTCACTATGAATCAGAACCAACTTACCAACATTAGCAATAGTCTTACTAGGGTGCCTACAGAAAAAAAAATATTCAGTCTCAACAGTGACTTTCCAAGGGAATCTGCTGGGCCAATTTGATTCAAGGCAGAAGTCAGCTCAGAAGATACGGAGACTGCTTTTTGGAACCCTAAAGGGGTCATCTTGATAGATTTTCTCAAAGGACACATGACGATCACGAGGGCTTATTAGGAAAAGTTTTTAGAAAATTGAAAACTGCTCTGATGAGAAAAATGCCAGGAAAGTTGCATTAAGAAAAATTTCCGTCACAATAGTGCTCATTCTTTGAGAGTAGCAAGGGCTGTCTTATGAGATCATTTCCTTGGGAAACCTTACCCCACCCTACAGCCCTGATTTTGCCTCTTCAAAGTTTTTTTCCCAAAATTCAAAGAACATTGAAAAGGAACAAACACAATTTGAGTTTCTCAAAAATATAAAACCATTTGGTATGATATGATTCAAAGTGTGCAGAATTTTTCAGGGAAGGATTCTTGTTAAATGTTATCAAGTCAGTTCCAACTCATAGCAACCCTGTAGAATATTTCCAGGGAGCGGCTGGTGAGCTTGAACCACCGACCTTGAGGTTCAAATTGACTTTGCAGTCCAGTGCATTAACCCACAGCGCAATACAAGTAAAGGATTGGAGAGATGGAAACACTACCTTCAGAAATATATAGAGCTAGATGAGGGGGCTGGCAGTCCTGGGAGAGAGCTGATATTGGACCTGAGGAACAGAAAATCAGAAGGAAGCCCTATGTTTGAGCTGAGTGCTGGGGATGGGGGAGTGCCAAGGACAGCAAAGGAGAAGCGAAGGTGTTGGACTGGTAGTTGCTGGTGCTGTCAGGTGTACATGTGGGAGCTCGGGCTGGACTGCAGGCACTGACCACAGCACTCAGCCCATATGGAGCCCTCCCCTCTGCTTTAGCTCCAGTTTCACTAGAATTTGTGATGCTGAGACCGGCCTTTACCAGTACCTATTAAGAGTCTGCCTGACTCGTGGCAACCCCAGGTGTGTCCGAGGAGAGCTGTGCTCTGTTGGGTTTGCAGTGACCAGAGTCTCAGGACTCAGTGACCAGGCCTTGCTTCCAAGGAGTCTGTGGGTTAGCAGCTGAGTGTGTGGTTGGTTGCACTGCCCAGGGACTCCATGTGCCTTCGCTGGTTTCTGACTTCCCTGAAGGACGCCAGAGGAAACCCTGTTCTGCTTTCTCCATAGCGTTTAACAGGAAGTCATTGTTTCTGTCTACAGTCTCTTGACTGACCGACCGCTGCATAGCAAGTGGTCTGTGCCCCCACAGGGTACCAAATGAGCAGGAGACGAATGGATAGGAAGGGGCCACGTGTGGGCCTTGACACCAGGCTCTCTTCTCTTTCGTGCCCAGGAGACATTTTCCAGAAGCCCTATGTGTCTGGAGAGGCAGATGCAGCCTCCTGGGAACTGACTGGCTCTGAGGACTACCTGCTGCTCGCCTGTGATGGCTTTTTTGACTTCGTGCCCCCTCAAGAAGTCACTGGCCTCGTCCAGAGCCACTTAGCCCGTCAGCAGGGCTGTGGGCTCCACGTTGCCGAGGAGCTGGTGACTGCAGCCCGGGAGCAGGGTTCCCGAGATAACATCACTGTACTAGTGGTCTTCCTCAGGAATCCCCACGACCTGCTAGAGGCTGGGCTCCAGGAGTCGAGGGACTTGTTGCTCTCTGACCTCTCGGAGCCCAAGACCAGCCCAATCCAGAGAATCTAAGGGACTCGTGCCCTGCCCTCCCCACCCTACCCTGCAATGCTTCTCCTCGGATGCCTTAGGAAAAGAGTGGGCAGAGGGCTGCTGCGATTTGCTTCCCCCAGGACCTCTCTCATTCAAGGCTCTTGCGTTATGCCTAACCCAGTAACTGCATCATGGTGGGTAGGAGTGCACCCTGCTTGTAGCCGACTTGGGGTGGTAGCAGGTCTCAGAAGGAAGCATAGGAAGAGACCTGACCAAAGAGAAGACCTGGGAAGTTCACTTTGCTCCTGGCTCCCAGTAAAGGGACACTCCAGACAGGCTGTCTAACACAGAGTTCTCATGCATGCTGCCACCATGGCTGAAGCTGAGGGACCCTCATGTTGGCAAGTATGCCTGATGGGCTCTGGTTAGCCATTCATGGTGGTCTCCCAAAATGGAGAGGGACACCAGCTTGCAACAGCCTCAGGCCTATGGGACCTCTGGTCCCCTCACTTCCTCCCTACCCTCTTCTGTGGTCACCCCAGGAACCACAGATGTCTTTGTGTGTGTGTTTGTGTGCTCAAGTGCACACTTGTGTGTTTTCCAGGGGAATGTCTAACTTTGAAACAGTATTTCAGGTATTGTGCCAAGGTGACCTTTGTGCCATATAATTTAAACAGAGCTTTAGCTGTTATTTTAACTCCTCAGAAAACTCATGTAGATACTTTTTTTTTTTTTTAATCCTGTATTTAGGGGAAATTTTTGCAGTGTTATTGGATTTATTTTTTTTTTTAATTTCTCAGTCAGGATGGAAACAAAACCTTTTCCAGGTGTTGTAGATTGGCCACTCAAGTGCCTTAGGCAGCTCCCAGGAAGCAGGCTACTGGCCTGTTTGGGGTTTCTGCAGCAGCAAGGCTCTCATTAGCATGTGTAATTTTTGCCAGAAGTCTCTGGGATGGAGGGTTCCCCCTGCCTCTTTGTGATATGCTACCATGGTCAGCCAAGAGGCTGATGCCTATGAGCACAGTCCTGAGTGGTAGGTGGTGGGAGCGTTTGCCCCATTACGGAAGACATGGGTATGGGTAGCTGGCATGACCACAGCCCCACATACATGCTTGGTCTAGCTGCTTGCATCCCTGGCATGACCCTGGGCAGAAGGACCAAGTACTGGAGGTGGAGCCACTCAAGGTTCTCCCACCACTGTTTGATTGGAATGTAGTTTGTATCATTGTATTTGGCTTCATTGGGAAACATAGCTTAGTATACTCTGGCAAGTCAGGTTCCAGCCTGTGAGCCCCTGACTCCATGTAGAGGCAACACTGATGCCTGGGGGTCCTAGCACTCCAGTGGGTTTGGTTCCCAGTCCTTGCCCAGACCCCCTGGGCCCCAGCCCCTCCATTCTCCCTGGGGTCTGGTAGCCTTTCTGCTGTGGTCTTCTCTGTAGCTAACCAGCATAAGGCCATTTTTGCAGCTTCACCTTTTTCATCAGCTGTGGAGAACACCCCTACCCCTCGGTTGCCTGTTTCCTAATGCAACCTAGAATCCAGCGAGGCCAGGGTACTTGGGGAGCACACAGAGGGCAGAGGAGATAGCAGAGGACTCCAGAGGACAGATGGCTCTGGGGGAGGGCTGAGCGGTAGGCAGGACTGGGAAGTGTGGCTCCGCTGACACCTTAGGAGCATTTCAGGGAGGGGAGGCATTTGCAGTGCACCCTGGACAATGAGGCTACTGCGAGCTATGCCGGGAAACTAGTCTCCACTGTACCTGAGGGTCCCCTGGAAGAGAGACAGTGAGTGGGAGCCTTCACCCAGCCTCCAGGAGGGAGAACAAGGTGTTGGAGAGCCCTGCCTGCCAGCAAGTAAGGAGGTGATAATTGCTCAACAAATCACTGCTCCTGCTAACTTTGTCCCCCTGGCTTCTGAGGGCTAGAAACCTGGGCTCCGTGCCCCCTTTGCATCCCAGGGCTGGACCAGGTGAGGGAACATAGCTCCATTCCCACTAGCCAGCCTGTCACTGAGCAGGGTGACCTTAATTGAGGTACTGTCAGACTTCCAGCATGTCACATCCAAGGATTGCTGCCACCATGGAGCTCTAGTTAAACCATTTGGTGACCATGTGGTTTGGTTCCAGGAGCCCTTGTGGTGCAGGGAGTTAAGTGTTGGACATCAAGGACAGCAGTTCAAACCCAGTGGCCACTCCTAAGGAGAGTGATGAGGCTAACTGTTGTATGAAGCTAACAGCCTCAGAAACCCTATGGAGCAGTTCTTGACCCTCTAGAGACCCTGTGATTCAGAATCGATGGCAGTGGGTTTGGGTATTTTGATGAGTTGGTTTGATTCACACACTGCCCCGAGTGTCACCAGGGAAACTCTGTGTCTAGGTGCCATGGGGAGGTAAACTACCCTGCCTTGGAGAGGAGACTTGGTTCCTCCACTGCAGAGACTGACCTGTGCTAGCCCTGAACATCAGTAGTCCTCTCCCATTTCAATCTGGGGTGGGATTGTTTGGAGCTGGCTGGTGGCCTCTTCAACCCTGTTGAGTCCTGGACCACTTCTCTATGTAAAACTGTGAGTTCAACAGTCTTCAGCAGCTCCTCCTAAAACTCAGACTGAGTTTATATGTGGGGAGAGGGAGATGCCACACACACCCTCCCCCAGCAGTATTACTATTCAGTATGGCACTGTAGGAAAACCACTGGACTACTAACCCCAAGGTTGGCGGTTCAAACACACCAGTCGCTCCTTGGAAAGCCTATGTAGGGATGCTAGGAGTCGGAAACAACTCAACAGCACTTAACAATTATTGAAGTTCAGTGAGTTGGAGTAGAATCAATCTACAGAAGCCAGAGCTTTTTATGAAACACAAAGGCTGGAGAAGTGGGGCCCTGCTCTTCAGATTCTGGGAGCTGAGGCTGTGGGGGTGAGCCACGGGCAGGCCAAAGGTGACCTGCAGCACAAGACTCCACTGAAAGGTTCTTCTAGTCTAGCTCCCTGACCTTTGGCTCAGAGGCAGGTCCTGGTTAGAGCTTTCCTCACAGCCTTGGACTAGGATGTCTCAAATGGGGGACAGCAGTCCATGGCCTCAGTGCAGGGGGCATCCCAACCACCCAGTGAAAGAGCAGAATCAGTTTTGAAGCCAAAGTGAGGGATCCTGGTTTTCACGGCTCTGCCTCCCAGCTTTGCCAAATACGTTTTGCCAATCTGAGCGTCGCAGCCATGCCCATTTCTCTGTGCCATGTTGGTGGGTGTGCTGGGAGCTATATACTCCTATTCTCAATATCCCCCAAAGGAAGTTCACTGTGTTGAGTGTTAATAAACATGGTTCAGAAACCACACCCCTGAGTCCTGCCTCTTTCTTCAGTCCTCAGTGGGTGCCCAGCCCTCTGCTCTCCTGGGGTTGTTGTGTTGGATGCAGCTAGACTTCTGAGACCAACCTGGACTCTGGAGGTGCCCTGCACAACACCCAGCAATTCAGTGCCTGTAGGGACATCCCTCCACAATGAAAAGCACCAAGGCTTGCTGACATCACTAGCTACCACCATTTGCTCCACCCATGCATGCAGAACCTGAGGACTATGGAGAGCTTAGTCCAGCTTGGAAGAAAAAACCCAGAGCAAGTTAAACAAGTCAGCCATTGACCATTTCTGAGGGTGAGATTATGGGTGGTGCCCTTCCCTCCCCAATTTAGGCTTTTCTCAAATTTTAAAAGGGTTTAGTATACATATTTAAAATGTTCTTACAAAAGGACACAGAGAGGGAGGTGGGGCTTGATGGTGGCTAGGGTGGAGGTGCAGTAAAGTTCGCTGTCAGCAATAACACAAAATACCAGGCAAAGCAGATCCAGGGCAGAGTTCCAAAACTCAGAACCACAGAGATAAGCATATTTTAAAGGTTTGCAGGCTTATAGCTTGTGGAGTTTGGCGCTGAAGTAAAAAATCGCGTACTTTTGAATCTGCTGGGCCAGGCTCAGAGGCCCGAGCCGACATCCTGGGTGAGACCAAGTGGCAAGACAAAACAAGGGGAGCAGAAACACCACGGAAAAATGCTGCGGGAACCTTGGGACAAAGGTGGACAATATACTTTGTCAGTTTTGCTTTGTTCTGATTTTCTTTTGTTCTTTGGTATCTGGTAATTGGCATGCTCACAGTTTGCCCACCACCATTCTGGTGAATAGAGGGAAAGCCTGAGCTGAGTGGCCACCCCCACCCTCACTGATGGTGGGTTCTTCTGCCACGCATGCGCAAAGATACTCAGCCCAAGTGGAGGTGCTGAACTTTTATTATCTGTTTCCTTTTTGTTCTGTTTTTTATCACGGGAAAGAGGAGGGGGCTAAAGGGATGGAAAGAGAGTTTAAAGGCAAAACAGGCCAAAGGTTGGATTGGAGTCTGAGGTATAGCATAACAACTAACACTGGCAACTTGGAATCTCTCGGGCAGCTTTGAAGGCAGGAACTTGAAGAGAGGGCATTAAAGTCATACTCATATTAATCTGTAGATTTTTTTAAAAAATTTTTTTCCTTTTTCTTCTCTCCCTCCTCTCCCTTTTCTGTGATTAGAG